CAGCTTACTAAGTTTTATTACTATTATCAAGTTTATAGTAAATCGCCCGATAGATTCAAATTCTCTTTACCCGATAAGGATTTTGAGTTTAATTATATTATATTTATTGATATACTTTATATTAATAATAATCCAATTCTATATATTGTTAATAAAGCTATATACTTTTAAATTGTTTAATAACTGAGCAATGTATTTGCAAAGCATATATAGAATAAATTCCGTAAATACTGAATCGATACATATATTGATCTATCAGAATATATCACTTATAATACTAATACCAACTTTGTTAAAAAAGAGTTTCAATAATATACTATATCAATATCTATTTAAATAAAAACAATCCCTATAAAAATATATTATTTAATCAATATAGTTGAGAGATTTCATATACCATTACACAGATCTTACGAAATTATTTATAAAGAAGTTTATAAACTTAATGTTCATAAGATAGTTATATTCTAGATAGTTATAAAGGCAATTAACGATATTACTAGATCTAATGGTTTAATACTTACCTTACTCGTTTTTGGGATATTTCCCTATATAATCGATACCAGCTCTTCAATACCTATTATTCAATAGTATATTATTATAATCTCTAAAACTATAATAAAGATTTGTAGATTATATAATTCTATATAAATACAAAAAGTCTTAAATATATATAATAAACTCTCTACAATTATACTTTATAATTTATTACTGAATAATAAGATTTTGATTTGAAGAAAAGATAATAAAATAGCTACTAATAAATGAAAAGAACCTTTTTTATTTATTAATATAAAAAGGGAAATATATACTCTTAATTTATTTTATAAATCTATAAAATTTAGATTTATATTAATAAAGTTGTATTATAAGTGATTAAAAACTGAATGTATTAAGGAGATTAAAGAAATTAATTATAATATTGATTTTGAGATAATTTTGCTAAAATCTAGTAAAATTATATTATCTTCTTTAGTAATTATATATACAACGAATTCAGAAAAATCCTTCTTGGATTTATTTAAGAACGATTAGATTCCTACTTTGATATTTTTTCTGTAAATAATTATACCTCAAATTCAAGCTTATATACAAAATTACCACCCTGAATATTTTATTATCGATTCTAAAGATTCTATTATATATAAGAAATCCAGAAAAAAAGAAATTGATAGATTAATAATTAAAAGTATATTCGAGATTATACCACTTTTGAATATTTCTTTTAATATATATATTTTCAAATTGTAGTTTATTAATAAAATTAAAAACAAAAGAATGAATATTGAATTTCGCAAGTTAAAACTAGTTATTCAAATATATAATAATACTAATAAAATATTTATATTAATACAATTCCCAATAATCCAACAATCAAGTCAATACATTTTAATTTCATTAATCACAAGTATTCGAAAAACAGATATAAAAATGTATATTCGAGATATTACTTAAATATACATTCAATCTATTTTGAACTTATATTATATTTTTTATATCTATATTCTGAAAGAGATAAACTTACTAACTAATATAATCTTACTAATTATTAAATCATTATATAATATTTCTAAAATAGGAAACCATTGATTCCAGATATACTATATCTATTATTATAAAAAGCTTAAGATATAATAATTTATATATAATCTTTATTTATTGTATACTAATAATAAGAGAACTAAATTCAGCATTATAAAACTTCAAATAGATAATATATTTATTGTTGGGGATAATATATTTATATAAACTAAAAACAAACAATTCAAATAGACTGGTTTTATAACTAAGGATTATAAGGAACTTATTTATAACCATTTATTGAAGTTTAATAGTATTACTTTTATACTTAAAAATAATGATATTTATCTCGACTAGAAAAAGCAATACAACAATTTACAGCTTATATCTACTGAATCCATGGATATATATAATATGTATAATAAGGTTTGAAAGTATATTTCTATATATAAATAATATATTACATAATAAGTTCGCGGAATATACATTACAACTATATACTAACCTAAAGCATCTTTCGATCTATTTATGATAGTGTAGATAATCTAATCCAATAAGAATAATATTATAGTGTTGAATAAGTATATTAAATAACAAAAAGAAAATTCTATTAAAAAACTCAAATACATATTATTTAATCTAAATTTATTTAAGATTGTTATTTTTACTAATATTTCTTTTATAAATAATAAGGATTATTTATTCTAGATAAACTATGTGATTATAATAATGAATAAACATAATAATATTAATATTATTTATTAGTTGTTTATCAAATACAAAAGAGTTATACATAGTATTTTAGCATCTGAATTATACAGATTAGTTTAGGGATTCGATATTGGTATAGTAATCATTTCTATAATTAGTACTATTTTTAGTAAGGAGATTTTATTAGTTTTATATACTAATTCTAAATCATTATATGATTTATTTACAAAGCTAGGAATAACTAGTGAAAAAAGATTAATAATCGATATTATAGTACTATATCAATCCTACAAATGAAAAAAGATTGTTAAAGTGATTTGGATTGATGGTTTGACTAATCCGGCCGATATAATAATGAAAGGAAAACTATATCAAGCTCTTACTGATTTAATTAATACAAATAAGATTAATATCAAGATAATGAAATAAGTAAAATAGGATTAAAAAAAGGAAGGGATTGATTCTATTAATAAAAGATTAAAGACTTTAACCAATAAATAAAGAATATTTATAATTTCACGATTTTCTTTTCAACCATTATATTTGAAGCCATAAAAGAAAGTTCCGAATATATAAACAAGGAAATTCACTCCAAAAAAATTCACTCAAAGGAATTCACTTCAAAGAAATAACTTCCATACAATAGCAACTATATTAAAGATATTAGGCAAAAGCAAAGAAGACTAGCTCTTTCAGTAATGCCTATATAAGGCCTACTATTTCCCTCATTTAGCTAGCTCCTTAGATTGAATACAAATAGACATTTAGGGGCCTACACATAGTGGAAACCACGTCTTCCGTATCTCTCTCAAACCAACAATTTATTTAATAATTAAAAAATTAATTTGAAAATCTCTTATATAAGAAATTATTATATTTGAAATCTTAAAAAATAAATAGATTATTTTTAGTATTTTTTTTGATATAATTATAGATTTTCAAAATTGAAATTTTTCGAAATTTATTATATATAACGCTTTTCCTATACAAAAAAATCGATTTTTTTAGATTTTTTGAAAATTTTAACTTTGAAAACCTACAACTATATCAAAAAAAAATACTAAAAATAATCTATTCATTTTTTTGAATAATTTTAATAATTAATTATAATATATATCAATTTCGATAATTTCATTTCTATATTTATTGAAATAATATATAATTCAAAAATTAAAGAAATGAAGGTTTTTGGTATGTTTTCGACTAGTGTGCAATAAGCCGGGGCCTCAACTCTTACAAGATCTGTTTCTTGCATCTACCCAAGTCCTCACCATACCATTACCAACAATGAAGGTTGGAATTAGCAATTGGATATCTATAATAATCAGCTTCAGCAAAAAGATGCGGAATGTGCCACTATCTCCATGTAGTTTGATCAATCGTTCCAGCCTGGTCTCGAAAAGATATAAGTTCATACATCTCATTGCTCAACCACAACTCACATGATAGTCACTCTAATCTAATAGAAGGAAAAGGTATGCCTTCCGCAGCATGGCAACTACATTCCTTCAACGGTCCCATGCGAACGTGTAAAACGACCTACACTTGTTATACATAACTAGTCCGAATATTGCATCGTTTCATTAGAGCGAAGAGATACCTGGGCTTGATATCATTCCACTATGTCGAAGTCTCAGGGGTAATCAATCATCCATACCGATCGGGAAATATTCGCAATCACGCAGCCATTGAACCGAAAATGCATTGCCAGAGTCAATGCAACGTCAAGGTCGATATGTTGGCATCGTTCTGTACCTAATAATGCTCATAAATAATATATTTAAAATCATTCATCTGCCCAGCCCTCAGTAGATACTTCAGGCGGAGAGTCCTAGCCGATAACCCAATAAAATCGTCACCATAAACAATCAATCCAACATGCAGAATAGGGTAATTGGGATAGCCAGAGCAAGAGGCTGAGTAGCCTTGCCCTATAAAAAAAGGTGATCAAGATCTCTCATCTCGTCTTGAGTATGCAGAACTCCGAAATCAATCATGTAATAATTCGTCCGAGATTATGCTCCAGTTTCTTGTTGGTCCATTCGTCGAATCTTGTCATGCTGATCAACGGTCTTTCCCAAACCCTTGCAGATCACTATGGCTTTCACCAAAAAATTCTTGCAAATGGAGAAAATAACAGATATAGACTCTCTCATGAACAGACGGTGAATAAATAATTTGTGAGTAGGCGTGTTGATACTATTTACGAAAAGGTTCAGTCTTGGGCTAATTGGCTAAGCTTGTTAACATTCTGAATTTTGAAGCATGAAGCAGCTTTCGCTCTTTTGAAGTAAAAAATTCTTCTCACTACGACCAGCGACATTTATAGTGAGACTCTTTTCGGAGCAGACTTTTGTTTGTCATGAGTCCGAAAGTCAGCGACTCTCTTACTTGAGATCCTATTGTAGCCTCAGTTGCCCATTATTCAACCATTTCAACGTTAAGTTGACTGGTAGTTGTGGCCCTCATAGCAATTGCCACACCCTTTCTCCTGGGTTTATCCACCTCGAACCTCCTTTCAGCATCCAGTACCAGAGATGAGAGGAACTACCTTTATGCCGCTACACACCTACGTTGGGCCAGTGTTACCGACATGTTTTTCTGTTGTGTGCAATACCAGGCGGATGTAAAGATGTCAAATCCCATCATGAATGGGACTGTGATAGTCATATGGGCTAGCCAACGACGAATGGGCCACAGTAGACCTCAACGGACTAGCATTGCCAAACCCATTCTCTAGGTAAATACCTTCAAGATGCTTAGAATAATCAATCATCTGCTGAAAAGTATCTCTTAGTCTTGGCCTTCCCTTGTTGTGCTTTGAAATCATCTGGGACAACTGTATGATGTACAACATGAGGTCTATAAATTGCATCTACTGGTGGCATCCTATAAATGTTTGTTAGTGTAATTCTTTGATACCCATTGTGACTTTCGCTCATGTTGACTCATCTAATTTGATCCCTCGTGCTCGGTGGCTAACATCAACAGCCACATTTGACCACAAAATGATAGATAGACGACACGCAGCCAGCAACGGAAATGGGAAACTAACCAATCATCCAAGCTTAAAGGAAAGTACTCATAAAGTGCTTCTTCGTTGTCTTCAGGGCTACCAACACTGATCGCTTTCTTCGACCAGCCAATCTTTCCATTCACTCCGCCATCCTTCTCCGAACTATTTCTTTGGCTTGCGCCTCTATCCCTATCTCTGTCCGAAAGACCGGATGCGTTTCTAGAAGGAACCTGAGAGTTTGAAAATCCCGTGTCGTCATCAGCTAGAGATAGATCTATTGGGGCTGCAGAAGACTGGGATGAAGTCTTGACATTTGTGGAATCTGTTTTCCAACGAGCTTTAGGAACAGGGGGGCGATTATGAGATGAATTCCTCTTCGTACGGTGTGAAGGAGTGGGTGGCTGGTCGGGTGTTAAAGATGAAGATGAAGATGTGAGGTTAGGCCAATCAGGTAAGTCTAGCGGTTGCTGAGAATAGTCAGTTCCATGTTCACCACAAGGATTTGAAAAAGTGTTTCAAAGAGGGGTTAAAAATGATATGGAGATGTACCTGAACAGGATTCGGCGCGTAGAAGCGATAGGAAGATTGAGAGGTTGCCGGATCAACTTTTACCGTCGGTCCGGCTTCATTGCTCATAGTCCTAGATTTTGGCTCCCCCTTCTTCTCACTAACAGGCACATCTTTCCTGCTGTCAAAGTTTCTCGGACTTCTTCCTCTCACGATGATTGCTCCGGATTGAATCTCTGTCAACTTGACCTGTTCCCCGGTGGCTAACGTAGCCATCAAATTAATTTGTATGACATAATGTTGCTGCAGTCCTTTCCTCCTTCCATTATTTGCCGTCGCATGTTTGAATTGCAATCGCTTCCACGCTATAGGAATGGAGACACACGTAGGATCCAGCTCCGGATTGATGCTCAAGTCCAAGGGCCATTGTGGTGGGGCTGCGCCAGCTTTATCTTCAGAAGTCGTCACATTCGCTGTCTTCCATGGCACACTAATAATTTCGGTACTCTTCCCCTCAATGCTTTCTAGAGCAGATATCGTCGCAGTCAGATTATATATTGGAACATGTTGGCCTTGTTCATTTATTATTCTCGTGATGGATCTTGATAAGATAATGGTCCCAGAAATTTGAAATAGATTCCGTCGATAGCAAGTCAATTCCATTGGTCTCCCCACAGTCTCACTACCAAATACATCTTCGGCCACAAAGAACATCCCATATAGTTCTGCATTCATTGCTGGCCAAGTTTGTCCATTATCATCCAAAGTTGGCACTTTCATTATCGGTGCGCCAAATCCGAGTAATTTGTTATCCGGGTCGCTAGAATTGGTATCGCCATTATTTTCTGGATTTGGGTCATCGAGCAGTGACTCGAAAGGCCCAGAGTTGTAGGAAAAAGGGTCTTCAAAAGTAGTAGAAAATGCGTCAGATATTTCGTACGAGGGTGTGAATGGTAATGAGGGCATTCCTATATGGACATCGTCCCTTCTCCTTGGCCGTTAGTACATGCACTCTTCTTTCCTTGGGGCCCCTCAGGATTAAACATACAACAACCCGTCCGCCTCGAAATTTAGATCGTGTTCGAAAGTATCCATGTTGAATTGATTACTCCTTGAGCCCGGAGCTGTTAATCGTAGAATGTTGTGAGGAGAGGTTGACGATGAAATGGTCAAAGTATCATACGCTGCCATGTTCGCAATCTTATGATATGGGATTACTCAAGAGTAGCGCTTTGTACGAACAGGACGACAATGTTGTAAGCATTGTAAGATCGATACTCAAGTAGTTCAGAAGAATAACTTCAACTGTCTGAATCGCAAAGAACAATCATCAAGGATCTTGACGGTTAAGTTCAGATGAGTTAAGTTAAGTTGAGTTCGGGCAGGCGAGAAGCCGCAAACTTGGCTATCAGCCCAAGTAAGCGGGACATACTACTCCACAGTGCCGATAAGGACCCATAAGGGGGATAGAAAACCAAACTTTAACTATTTAACTAAAAGCTACTTCGTACATATATATGCAAACTAGTAATTTATGACGATAAGATCTCTGGAATCTCGAAATCTTCTTTTCTAATGAGAACGAACTCTAATTCTCAGAATACCTTTCTCATATCAAGTTCAACAGCATCTAGAGTCTTCAAGACGTGTCGAATCTATATATCTGTCAAGTGTCTACTCCTTTATGCACACCCTTAGATGTGCGGCATATCCTTGCCAAATCCATGCCAAATATATGCCAAATCAATCAATATGTGATAACAATACCGATACCATATTTCCCCAGGCCCTGCGGAGGAGGTTGTAGCTTCCTCTTCCAAACCGTTTCCAATCAGACCTAACGAGACAGACCAACTTATAAGTCTGTACTTCTTTCGATTTGTGTTGTTCATTCTGTACTGATTTCATTCCAGAGCTATTCCACCGACTTTAGTTTCGAGTCTCTAATAACATCGGATTCAATTGCTAAAGCTTCAATCTCCACCCTGTTGACATGGCTGACTTTGACAATTGGTAGCGAATGACAAGCAGAATGGGTCTTGATTGGTTCCAAATTCATGGTCACAAGAGCTACCTTTCCCTAGGAATATGCTTGGTCTCCGGCATTTTTGGTTTTCTTTTACTAAATAATTGCTCTCACCAGATTCGATGTGATGGATACCATTTTGCATTTTGGAGGACTTAGAGGAGAATAGTGAAAAATATCATAACTAGTCCTCCATTACGGAGTATGGGGATGGTCTAAATTGATCTCCACATCTCTACCATGTCCAAATCAGGGTACCGTCAGACCTCTGGAGAAGTTCTAGCCCGCACGATCAGGGCAGAAACAATCAGTGGACTTCCGGGGAGCGCCAGTGTCTGCGACCCCAGTCAGTCAATATCTTGCGTCGCCCGTTTGATGCGCCGGCATTGCCAAACAAGGAAGCAATTCTGGGAAGATGGAAAAGCTAATTTTTACTTAATTGTCCACAAGAATTGATTCAGCCCAGTACACAACCTCATGAATAACTCATTTGTTTGCTTGCTCGGATTTTCCAGAGCTACACTTCTTTAAAATGCGTCCAGCCAATGACCCCAGGAGTTAGGAATTCGGAAAAGAAACGGTATGAATCGTGCACGAATCGTGAGCAATCGTGTTGATACGAGCATACACGTAATCTTCTCCTTATGCTCTAACCTTCTTACGGAGGGCAAGTGCGTCCCATTCTCCCACCCGCAGATAAGTTATTTCTATTTCTATCCCGCCTATGCCATTACAGTTACATCGTCTAAATATATCTGAACAAATCCAATAACATAGAATGCCTAGTGGTACACTGGTACGGTTAGAATGATCTCCTTGCAAAGGCGTCTAATATTCAGTGCAATTACGTTGAGAGAGAGCGGATCAGAAATATGTTAAACATCGAGAGATAAAGTCTGCAGTTCTTGTCTATGCCATGACCACATGATATTTCATTATTGAGTAACGGCATATTGCTTTACTAAACTAGTAGGGTTGCAAATTCGCTACTCAAACCGAATTGATTTCAACCAAACGATAAATCGACTATTATTCAGCTTAACTAGGGATCTCCTGCGATACCTTGTCGCCAATTAACCTTAAGGAGATTCGCGATATCGACAATTCCCCTTTGTTCTCGCTTATGGAATTCAATGAAGGGGGTACAAGACGCGTCAAGTGAGTGGATCAGAATAAGATATCTATAGGCACTCTAAACTACATTTAAAATTTGATGCATCGATAAAAACACCCTTCAAACCCTTGTGTGAACTCATCGTCGACTTGCTATTAGCATGTTCGTTCTATTTTCTCTGAACTCTACGCCATATTTTTCCTTTCCCGCAAGTTAAAAGCCAGACTCATCCCCCTCCCTTCCTTCTCTTTCCCCCGTACACTCTAGCCACACGGACTAATACATGGGTATATATACATAAATACATTTATACATTTATGATAATTGAGGCTTGTAATCTCCCCAAGTTATTACAAGAAAATATGAATGATATTCCATGTCATGTGAATAATTTATCACGAGTCCAAAGACACAGGCAAGAAATGAAGTGTTATATAGAAACGAATTGCTATTTGATTCAATGCATGTACATCGCATGTGGTGTCCAATCTATAATAAGCAAACACACCAGGATATCCTCGTAAAACCAAAACCAAACACACTTATGCAAATCCATCCATCTTGTCTTCGTCTTCGCATTACCAAAATGTTCATGACTTCGTAAATAACCCCGACCCTCGCTCTTTTTAAACCCGCTTTCCTCAAAAAGAAATTTGTATCAATCCTGATACCTCTCGTCCACAAACCTCGGATGGGGCAATATGTAACCGTCGTAACGTTCGCCTCTACTCTCCTCGCTACTACTAACACTCGTACTTGGGCTTACTAACCCACTGCTTTCTGCTAAACCTGTCATTTCCTCATCAATACTAGTGGCTATTCTCCCATTAGTCCTACTTCCTGTCCCCTCAATTCCAAATCCAGTACCGCATCCAAGTCCCATCCCAATTCCTATACTTCCAAATCCAGTGGGTAGACTTCCGCCTACAAATCCTAACGGATTGCCAGACACTCTTCTTGGGCCCCCATTTGCCTCCATTCCTTCTCCTACACTTCCCACTCTACTCAAAGCTGGTTTCTCCGGCAATCCCTTTAACAACCCTGTACTCGTATCCAACATACCCATGGCCCATCTTGTCAGCTCGCCTCCTTTACAGCTGACTCCTAAAGTCCACCTGTATTCTCCTAACCTCCTTCTATACCACTCAGCCTCCTCTCTTCCTGGCGCCGTCGCCCACAACAACGAACCAAAAGTTCCTATCAGCGCAAAGTTCGTCTTACTTGCGAAGTACCAGAAGGACCTCAAATGACTAGTCGTGAGTCGGTTCACAAAATCCATGGCGGATATTAAGCGGGTTTTTGCTGCACTACGGCAAATGTGCTGGATGTAAGGATCTGGCTGGACAGGAGATGACTGCCCTTCGATTTTAATGTGGGCATGCGAGGAGTTCGGAGGAGGCATCAAGGAACGGATGATGCGACGATGAAGGGTGATTTCCGTCGCAAAATACGCGAGATGCAGGAATCCGGTGGAGGATAAGGATAATTTCGAAGAGGTGGGAGGAGCGTCCATACGGAGACAGGCAGGTAGTGCCGAATACCAATCTTTGAGTTTGAGCTGTACGGGCTTCGCGAGCTGAAGGACAAGTACTGTGCCTTGGGCTCCAGCATTGGCCACATTAGACATAGCGGATAGCGTGTAGAAGGTATCTAAAACTTCGGAGAGAATCAGAGAGAGGGCTATCATTTGACAGAAAAGTTGTCTGCCGCGATCGTGTTCGGCACTTTGCTCATCATTAGTCTCATCATGTTCAATATCCGGAAAATCATTCTGGGATAAGGGAAGAACAGCCCAATTCGTAGCGAAAATATGCGACGGACGTCCATGCACTAACGATCCCCATTTATCTTGCATATATAGTGCCCAAGCGAGACGTTTGCGGAGTCCGCGCTCCCATGGCGGAATTTTCCAATTTGAACAGTCGAGATGAAGACCTAATTCTTGGGAAATTGCTACGAGTTGTGCGGTTGGTGCCCATTGATCACCTTCTGGTGCTTGGGATAGTAAGAGTCCGGCTTGTACGGTCGATAGTTTGGGTCTGTTCATGGCATCCGACAATGTCACTCTTGCTAATCTTTCCAGTTCCTTAAGGTCGGGCCTAGGCAGATGTGCAAGTTCTTCACTGTGGTCCCACCAATTGATCGCAAGAATATATACGGCAGCCAAAAGAGGTGGAGAAAATTCTCGGTAAGATCTGTTGTACTTCTCCCAAAATACGTTCTTCTGAAGGATGGGAAAATTTGGATGAATGATACGGAAATATAAATCCAGCAGTATGGGACCGTGTGGCGCCACCAGATCTTCAATCGCATCCACATCTTCAATTTGATGTTCATGGCCGGGAGTCGTATGATCCGGAAGCATTAAAAACGTATCAACATCGCTTACTTTTCTTAATGTTCCTCTCGATAACAAACTCTCATCTTGTGGATCAAATGGTGATAAATCAATGAGTGAAGGCTCGAAGTCTGTAGTTGGACCAATATATTGACTGAATCGATCATGCTGTAACCCCAATGTTCGCTTTAACAACGTTGGGCCCCCAATATTTGCCAAATCCTCGGTCAGTGAATTGGTAGCACCGGTGCTAGATATGCTAGCCTCGTGGGGTCTGGACCTTTCGAAGTTCCTATCAGGAGATCTGCGAACCTGTCAGCCGTGATTTAAGAACACACAAATCATTAGACACAAAATTTTGCATACCTTCTTTTAGCAATGGATTCTTCCTTCCCATCCGTATTCAATTTTCTCTTCCTAGGCTGCGGACTTGACAGGAAGGTGCAGTCCTGAGAATGAAATTGACAAAGAACACACGTGGACTGCCCCTCATTGATCACACATCTACTCTTCCTCCTCCTACAAGCATCACACGGTCTATCCTTTCGACTTCTCATGTTATTTCCTAGATCCATCGATGTCACACTACTCATACTCGTTGACAAACTAGAGATATCTCTGCCGTTTGATGAATTGTTGGGAGTATCGAGAATTGTATCTAGATGAGGTTTCTTGGAAGCAATGGCAATTGGGGCAGTACGTGCTATAGAAGTTGGAGTCGACATGATGGCCACTGCTCAACAAGATTCTAGTGGAACAATCTCCGCCGAGATCGTCAACGACCAGGTTCCGTAAGTCTGTGTGAACCCGATGACCTGCTCTAGACCCTGGGGTTGGTACCGCCGATACTGCAGCTGCCAGGGAAGATGGACGAGAAACGGGATTTTTGGCGTAGTCCCCTGTTCTCGGAGAAGCGCGATGGATGGCCGAGGATATGATAGCGTATAGGAACGGTCTAGTGATGCATAAAGCTGCCTCAAAGGGGAAGTCCAGCAAGATAGAAGAAGATATGATACTCCAAAAGATGTGAGTGGTTTGAAGGATGGATTATCAGATACGCTTATCGATGTGTATCTCCACTCTATTGCCTGTCAAATATCTCTTGTATGCTTGAAGTCCCGTAATCCGGATATTCTTAAAAGAGCTTATCGGAGTTTGAAGTGGGAAAATTGTGGTGTCGTCTGCACTGCGAATCTGCAAGTTCCCGGTCTGTGTTGAACGGGTAGATAAGAAGAAAGCTTGGGTATGGTAAAACCAACCGCAAACAGAATATTTTTACTGATAATGGTAAATATTAAAAGCCTTTTATTCACTCCAGAGTTTTCTTCTCCCTGTATGTCCGAAGGACTCAGGTTGGCCTGGAACTTGAAGAGAATTGTTAAAGTTGCTGACTAGATTCAGTGACTATCACTACTGCATGTGCCAGCTAGTGATTGAAGCAGGATAAGATGATGGATAGATTCCCACGTCATTGATGAAGAAAGGAATTCAACGGGAGCGTATTAGAAGTTTCAGAAACACTGAATGATATTGGTAAGAAGAACTTGATGAGAAGAAAGAGAAGGAGATTAGAAGCTTAGGAGATATGGAGAGATGAAAGCTAGATCTGCATTTACTAGAAACAGTACTTTCGTAAGAGAAGCCCAGAATCCGGATGACATTGGCCGAACTGTTACCAAACTAGATGGTAATAATAAGAGTAACTGAGTAAATGAATAAGTTAAATGATTAGCAGGACAAATAGCTAGTTAATCCCGCGTTGTCAACACGTTCTCCCATGTTTTAAAGACGTAGCTTTGGCGTCCTTTTTTTCCATGCTGCAAGATAAGGCGAAGGGACCAATATAAGATCCGACCGATATCTCTATCAAACAGAAATAATTATTTTTACATTAATCTACTAATCCGTACCTCGCATCTGCATTGCCGGTACGATGGGCACATCCACATCCAACCCTAGAAGAGTTTGGGTAACGGTAACCTACGTAGGTTTGGTAAGTCTTTGATAATTCGTCTACGGAGCAGTCTGCAACGTAGACAATGGGCATTTTCCTGGCTGTTGGCTAACATTTGGTCATCAATATTGGAAAAGCTACACAGAGATTGGAAGCTTTCCGACTTCCCCTACTCGAGCAAACCTCGTTTGAGTCGGTTTGACTCTTCTCACTGCTTACGCTTTGATCAATTTAAAGACCCAGATATACTGAGAACATAGTTTTAATGACACCAGAATATGTATGAATATGCATCTTCGATGAGCTATCCACGTGGATGTAACCAATCAACATATCTTATACGTAATTTTTTGAAACGCAAAACCTTTCATTGGATGCATGTGAAGAATTACTTAAAACTTATGGAGTTTGTAACATCCCATACATCCCATCTATTTCTCAATCTATTTATCTATTTCGACATTTCAACCACTCAACGTACGGCATTTCCTTATCGTCTCTCAAACATCCTATCTCTTGGATCCTTGTTGCTGCAGCCCCCCTTTCGGCTACCCAAGTTATGATGCTATCCTGACTTTATACATATGCTAAGTTGCTCAGCCACTTAGCCAAGGTATAATCAGAGATGTCTTTGCAGAGTATGGTATAGGTATAGCGGCAGTAGGTGCTCCATACGTACATCTCTATCCAGATCCACGCAATGATGTTGATATCTAATGATCTAATCTAAACATGATCTTCTAACCCCACAACACACGACCCCTCTAGTGCATGATTATTGCTAAAAGAAACCTCCCAAACCCTCTGAACCCCGGTAGCTATTGGTCATACATCAGTTAAACTTCCATCCATCTTTCCAGCAGTTCCTGCTCCATGCTAATCCAGCACATGGAATTGCCAATATGTGAGGAGGACTCTCAGGGCCCTTTTCGTGGGTGGTTAAATTGTTATGTAATTCCGAGATTGACGCACATCCGAATTGCACTTTGAAATTGTTTTGTGTCACATAATTCGGGTGGCTTGATTGTGAAGAAAGTGGGATTATGGGGGGTTGTGCGATATCCAGATTTGCAGTCATAACAACATGCGTGATCGGAGTATCTAAGAGAGTCTGGGAAAAAGCCAAACGCCGAATGATTATTGGGGATAAGGCGGTGAGATTCTACAACGATTTTGCTCTTCCATTGCTGTTGCATTACTGCATGCTGACGGTACATATCAATCTCTTACCTCATGAATTGAAACCGAATGTCACTGACAGTCGATTTCGGAAATTGCGCGTGGGAGAAAATCGAAGTTTTCGTGGAAAGAGCGGTATGCTATGATAGTGGCATTTTAGGTAAGAGTTAGGCATGCAAAAGGAAAGTTCAGTGGTGTATTACATGAAAGACGTGTAACATCACCAAGCTTTGTCGGCAGCTATGCTGCGTTGCTGGTGGTCATTACCGCTGCCCAACTGTGGATGAATCAGTTTCGAGCAGCTGGCTTATTGTACCGGAAACCTCCGGAACGCTTTCGAGGAGGAACTGTCGACACGAAATTAAAAGGATCTCATTCGTTGCTCCATGCTCTCAGATATCAAGAATATCAAGAAAATTCAACAGCGGGGCGACAAGTATTGTACCCCGCATTCGTGAATCACGCATGAACCACGATAAGCAGTCTCTTATCGTTCCACAAACACAGCATTGGAACTTGACTCGGAGTCTTAAATAAAACGACATCGTGAGCAGTGTAGATCGTTAAGGATCAAGATGAGCAGCAAGAGAATTCCCCCTAGACAAGACGTGAGGCGACATTCAAAAGGCAACGACCGAGGGCTACTAAATCTTTCTGCTGCCTCTTTTCGACTCTGTCATTTATGCACGTCATATTGTACAACACTTGAAGCCAAGACCTATTGCTCATATCGTTTTGCACCAAGAACTTTTCGAAAAGCAGTCTAGTCCTGCAAAACTTCTAGCTCGCATGGCAGTTGGAACATAACGGAACGATTTGAGGAGTGGGATTCAAGTAATTTTTCGACTACTGGGTTGGAATCATTCGATGTCTTCTGCGAAATGATCAATTGTAAAGTAAGTACAAAACCCCCCAAGGGTTGGGTATTCGTACATGTATATCTTGAAGGGATTGCTCGTATCTCGAGGACAGTATTGGGAACGAGCTCAACTCTCTACCCTCAGAGTATATTGGGAATCCCTCAATATCCTGGCCATTTATTCCATTGTATAAAACACAGTTAAAAGTGAAAGAGTTGTGAAGTAATGGATCATAGAATATTTCAGAGGGGCGCTAGTGGCCGCTCCTGCCCCTTTTCGCCATTGTTCGCTTACTCTTTCATGGATGGGGTCAATTGCATAATGACATCTCTCCAATCTTATCATACCAGTGTCCTTGACTTTGGGTACTCAGATTTATGTCTTCCATCTCTTATTGCTTACTGTGGTATCTTGATTATGTAGGTATCTAGAGATGGTAAGTGAATACAATACAAATCGATCAAACGGCAAATTGAGCCCAATAAGGTCTGCATTATCTCACACGACCATTTCGAGCATTCATTCGACGTAGAATGGATTTCGAGATATCAAAAACGAGTATCTCAACAGATAGTCGAGCAAAGGCAGGGAGAGCTTTAGTACCAAGACAAGATTTCGAAAGAATTACTCAATTTCGTCAAGAAACACTATATATACCTAGGTACCTATGGAAAATGAGGGAATTTGGAAACACAGGATGGTAGTTAGTATTAATCTCTCTCTACATACTTCCGAAGTGCTTTTACAATAATTTCAGACAAACACCATTTATATACCACACTCAATATCACAGCGATAGATCAAGGGGGAGTGGATCAATACCATCAGAATTTGTTGGTTGTGGATTTTCAACAGAACTCTCAAAAAAAGTTTTTACGAAAACTTAAGTTGTGGAGAAGTAGTCTAATGAAGGGATTGCGTTTGTCTCAGCTCTGATGTCTTTGAAATTAGGAAATTCAAGTCTGACATTATTGTCATCGCGTTAAAGAAATTCCCATCGTGTCGTTGGAGCAGAGGGCAAAAGACGCGGGGATATGTTCACAGGTAGTTTTCAAAAGGTCCCAAGATTTCGATAGTTGAAATTTGTGAAAAAGTTTAAACCAACTCTTATTATTCCATAGACCCAGACAATAACTGGTAAGCCACCAATATAATCCATTATTGTACATCTAACTAAAATGAAATTAGTATTACCTCTGGCAATCTCTTATCACTTAATGCCATATGTCATCTAGGACTCAACATTTGCACTTCTCTCTGCAACCGCTCTTGCTTCTGCTTCTAGCACTCTCCTCTCCTCCTCTGCTTTATCATCGTGAGTCTGATGACCGGCAAAAATAGCCAGGAGCCCTAGATCGTAGAATGCTTTAAGGATTCCCGCCGAGACAAATACAACCCAGAAAAGATTTTGTCCAGCCAACACGCCCGTGATGACTGGGCCGAGACTTTGCGCAGATGTCTTCACGACATTCAAAAGTCCCATGACCGCAGTGCGTTCGTGGGAATGTACGACTGCGGCGATAAAGGCAGCACGTGGTACTCCATCCATAGATGATGTGGAGTGCCGGAGTATGAGAAAGGTTATCGCAAAGGGAAGGCTAGAAGGCACGGGGATAAGAGCAAGAAAGATAGTTGAGGGAAGATGAGTAAATGCCATTGTCTGTAAGAGGTACTGTGTTAGAAACAACTACATCGTGAGAGGAATTGAAAGAGTACCTTGACATTTCCAAAACGCTTTGCTAAAGATGAAGCAACTAGCATTGAGCAAGCTGATATGATACTCGTGGTGAAGAAAAGAGAGCCCAATTTCCCTTCTTCAATGCCAAACTTCTCATGGAAGAAATAAGTCACCCATGAGCTATGTTCCTCCAATTAGCTTAACAGGGCAAGTGTAGAATGGAATCAGGCTCACAGAGGTACAAGACCAGAGGCAAAAGAATCAAGCCCCAGCAAGAGGCAAAGATTTAATACAATGACTCTGCTCTCCTTACTTATATCGGGCAACTTTGAGACAAAATACCCTTTTTTCGTAGCAACCACCTCTTCAGCTCCGTCACCCAACAATGGAGCAATTTCCGGGTCCCCGACCGGTGAGTATTTTTCCTCAATCTCCACCGCTTGACTAAGTCCTACTGAAAGTAAAAATTTAATGAATCCAAACAGCGCGTAGCTCCAAAATACAGCTCGATATGTAGAGATATCAGTCCAGCCACACTCATTGCGCAAGTAATTGATGACCCAGCCAGAAACAACAAATCCAAACGCTTGGCCCGCTGTTCCTATCAACGAATACCACGCATATATATCGCTTCGATTTGATGCCGGGGTAAGTTGTGCAAGAGTGGATTCTTCGATTGCTCTGAAAGGACCTATTTCATTTCCACTTTGAACGTGATATCAGCACCTCTGAACGGCAACAAATTAGGCTGTATCATACCTGGGACTAATAACCCCCAAAATGGCAGCAGCCAGTAGACCCCAATAATTCTCACAAATCGCAAAAACAATACCGCTCCCCATCATTAACCCTGAGCCCACCGCCAATATAGATTTCCTTCCTAGCGCATCTGCGAATAGTGTAAGAACAAAGCTAATCAATGTATCTCCAACCAATGTTAAGGTCATGAAGACCCCTATCTTCGTCTTGGAGATTTGAAGTATAGACAGATATTCAACGAGAATGAGGGTAGCTGTGGCATATGCAAACATTCGAGTGAAGCGTTGAAGGCATAGAAGTTTTGTATCGAGGGGTGATTTGTAGAGAGTGATAAGGCCCACCTCGGCGATGAAATGATGGAAGTATCTCAAAACCATTGTGAATTACCTTACTTGTGCCAGTCGTGAACGAAGGTCTGGAGGTGAACGAAGGTCTGAAGGTGACCTTGAGCTTTTCAGCTTGAGATTCCGGATCTTCGGACTGTGGAAGAGGCAGTGTGAAACTTCGTATATCTAAATTCTGACTGCAGATCGAGGGATACAAGAAGAAGAAGCAACAAGAAATGACAATGGCAATAGAGAATAGAAATGAAGAGAGAATCTTTATATCTCCAATACTTAGATTGAGATACAATAGAATTTCAAACGGAATCTCGTGTAGCTACCTATTTATACCTATTATGGAATGGGATGGGAATAATTTGCTCTCTCCAATTCGAGACTGAAGCCTGGAGTTAAGAGAGTTGTTAGGGGTCCATCATTGATAGCGATGTCGACATCCTAGTACTATCGTCTGATAAGGTTAAGATTGACAACAGCGAGACAACTACAATTCAATTCATCCTCGGCCGGCGAACAATTCTTTCCGGTCAATATACCCATTGAGAGATATGAAAACACCTCATCAATTGAGATTAACTCACAGCATTCTGGAAAAAGGCAAAGCAAATTTTCTGATGAGCTACTTGTCGTGTGGGAAAAACAAATCGCTGTTTGTAAATCATGATGGTGGGAGCCTTGCCTCCAAATTTCCAACAAAAAGAATGGCGTAGCTTTGGCATGGCCATTTTATTCTACAAGCGTAGATTCGAGGGAGTCCTTGGCCTTGGGCATATTATCAATTACCTTCCAGTAAGGGGCGATTCTCTTTGTGAGACATAGTCCAATGCGGAAACTGCATGCCGAAGATATCTTTGTTGTGAAAATTGGTATCTTCATTTGATCTCATGTCAAAACCTACAACATTCTCAAGCTTAGTTATCATCATGGCACCCAAAAAAGATACAAATGTTACTCTCGCCAGAGTCAGATTACCCCGGGCAGCAAAAGACAAACCGAAGACATCACCTGAACTTGTTCCAAAGACTACGCCCCAAACAATTAAGAAAGTTCCAGGTCGTTCAAAGAAATCCGTTCCTGAGACGATATCCACCTCAGAAACAAGTTCGGCTCGCAAAGTGAAAGGAAAAGGACGAGCAGTGACTACGGGAGAGCCCTCGATATCTACTCCTAGTGATCAAATAATACGTCAAGAAGCAACCTATCCGAATCCATTCTCCACAGAAAGCTCTCGTAAGAACACCGCAGCTTTGCTCTCTCAATGGGATTCCACCAAGTCTCCAGCTTTTTATTCACCAAATTCGGGAAATGGACTAGTCAATGGAACTCCAAAGTCTAAGTCGCCAAGATCTGCGAGATCCAAGCATGATAGATCATGCTCGATATTGGATAAAGGGCATATTGCAATTCCCCCACCATCTTCGAAAGACATAGGAGAGCAAACCTCCCAGCTCTTCGATGCCAACAAACAACAACGTTTGAATTCCTTAGCGGAGGGAAAGTTCCCCGATCCGACTTACCCACGGGCGAGTATATCCGATGGAACAGAACCTTCTCCGGGGTTCAATGCCGCTATGGGGTTCAGATACTCTCCAGGATTTGGGGGACCGCATGGTTTCAACACGAGTCCAAGAAACCAATCTGTTTTTAACCTGGCGCGAAATGGTTCTACAATACCAGGAACTGGAGTTCTGTCATCTTCAGGGACTATCAAAACAGGCGACCAAACCAACCACGGTGGTATCGCTGATGCTGGCCGCAGTCTTCGTGCCGATGGAGAGGGACTTAATATTTCATCATCTAAGAAAGTATCTACAGTTCCAGCTGGAGGGTTCCAGCAATATTCCTCAGGGTTTGGCCCGCAATATCCTCAGACTATCACACAGTATTCCGACTCTGCTTCAACAAACTGGCCCTATTCAATGGATTGGAATCAAAATAGGTTTTCAGGGCAGGTAAACACAGCACCCCAGTCATTAGGGTCGTATGGACCGTGGTTCGGACCTGGACACACACGAGACTTCGACTCCGAAAAGCAAGACTGGTATGCTGATTGGATGGCGTCGCAGCAAAACTTTCCTTCAATACCAGACTACCTTTCAAACCCGATGATAGGTTACTATCCAATGCCAGATTTCGAATCTGCTGATGCAAATATTCCACACCAGACGGCTCCCGGGCTGGATCAGGCTGCTCAGGGTGCCACGGCGATTGATGATCCAGAACCCCAGGGTATCAGAGAAAGTAGAATGACACGGGAGAAAACCATGCTTGTGCCAGGTGGAAAGATAATTAAAACAACGACAACAGTATTCACGCCCACTGACGAAGAGAGAAATAAAAAGGGGAACAATGTTGAACAGAATGTAGAAGACAAAGTCGGTATAGTCGTAGTAGACAAAGAGGGCAATGTTGATGTCGAGTCTGGAGATTGGCTAGCGGGGTTCAACAGAATCGAAGGATGGGAGGTCGAAGCTTTACTCGGGCAAAGTAAAAGGTGGCGATCCTGTAGGAATCGGAATGGAGTCACGAAGAAAGTCATTACGAAGAAAACTAACCACAAAAAACCTACAACCTCAAAGAAAGCTGTTGCTTCGTTACAACAACCAGTCTTACCCCAGCTGCATCCAAATTTCCCCAAATTTACACAATTAGCATCTACCAAGTTTGGAACTCTCAATAACTCTATATCTAACCCCATATCACCCTCTATAGACTTCATCCCCTTTGATCACCAGCGCCTTACCGACACAAGGTCCACCCGATCACGAGCCACACGTATATCAAAGCCAAAGCCTCAACCTGTCAAAAAGGCAGCCGCAAAGAAAGCCACCCCAAAAGTTAAATCCAAAACACCAACACCAACACCAACACCAACACCAAAGCCCAAAGCCACCGCCAGCAGAGTCACCAAGCCAACCGTAACTCCAGCTCGTAGCCTTCGCTCAACTAAATCATCTTCCAAAGCAAAACCCTCTGAGACTAAATCGGGTCCCAAACCCAGTCCCTCCAAATCCAAATCCTCATCAGCAAAAGAATCCACTAAAGCTAAAGCTGCAGGCAAACAAGCCGCCGCGAAGCAGAAGAAAATGCAAAAAATCATTGACCCGGGGAAGTCTCCCAAATCTGCAGGGGATTCCACCCGCAATGGCGTCAACTTCATGAATGGCTTCACGCGCAACACCACAGAGCTACAGAAGGAAGTCCAACGTGATCAAGCTCTTGCCAGCCAAGCCGCTGAAAACCTGGAGCGATTTCGTGGGAAAGGCGCTGAGCAAGCTTCCCAGCATTTTGAGAAGCTCATAGAGAATGTTGAGAAAGGGCGCAAGGAACTGGAAAGGCGTAATAAGAAGCCTAATTCATGAAGGAATCATTTGGAGATATGGAACATGAGAGATTACACAGGTAGCCATGTGGAACGATCTGTAGAAATCTTTGGCCGTTAGCTAATATGCACGACATTTTATGTTGTGGGCATTTTTTCTTTGTCTCTTTAGAAAAGTTTGGCAATGGTTATCGTGCAAGTCCTCTCTTTGATAATAAAGGCTGTGTGTGTGTACAGTTAAGTCATGTCAAGCTTTATTTCAACCTTCCTGTCTTTCCTGATCTAAGTACATTTCTCTTGAAGCCGAAAGATTTGCTTTGCTTTTGCACTCTTTGTTTTCATGTCCACGTATATAAGATCGATGTTAATTACTTGAATTACTTGAATTACCCAATTAAAGGATGCATTTATGTGTGTATGTATCATGCATCTAACCTCCAAATTTTTCTGCATCAGGGAAGTTGAGCACTCTTCTCCCAAATTCAAGTTTGCTCGACAGATGCTGATTATGTGTAGAGAGTTTAGACATTCCTCTGGCTTTTACAATAGAACAAATACATATTATTGAAGCCAAAATTGGCGTCAAGATTATAACCAGATACGATTGCGAAAACATTAAAAAATGTGAGATAGGATTGAGAGGGTTTTACTGAACCATATTGCACAAAGAGCGGAACTTTTAGATAGAAACGCAAAAAGAGCCTTCGAGGCTATGGCTAAAGAAGTAAATCAACTAGCTATGTAAAATGGTGAAAGAAGACTAAACGCCTAGAACATAGAGCCAGAGAAGACCTCATCTAAAGGCTTTTCTCCAAAGTAACCAATTCTCGAAAGCCTTCTTTCCACTTCGTCATCTCATCACTAGTGGGATGTGGTAACGGTGCACGACCATATCCTCCATAGCCAAACCAACTCTCCATACCAGCCTTAGTGCTCACAATACCTCCCTGGATAGCGGCCCAATCACCTTGAGCAACGACTTCCTGAAGTTTTTGGGCTTCCTTGATTTTTCCTTCATGGTATAATTTAGTCATTTCGATGCAAGTTTTCGGAGCAATATTTGCCAATCCCGCGAGGATCCCATGACCGCCCCCAATCAGACTTTGTAGGGTAAAATCGGCACTACCTCCAAGGACCAAGAATGGCGGAGATGCGGGGGAGTGTGGCTTGGAAGTCCTTGTGGCTGCCACGATTCGATTTAATTTGCCAGTATTGCCACAGGTCAGCTTCACACCCACGATGTTGGGATGAGCTGATAATTTGATGATAACATCTGACGAGAGGTCCATGCCGGAGACAGCTCCCGGATAGTTGTAAATTAATAGTGGAATAGGAGATTGGTCTGCTACAGTCGTGAAAAACTCGAGTACGGAAGCAGAGGAAGGCAAAAACAGAGGTGCATAATACGAAGGCGGTAGAATAAGTGCGTAATCTCCCCCAGCCGCGAAGGCTTCTCGGCAATATTGCACCGTTTCTCGGACAGATTGTGCGCCACAACCGACAATGATAGGAAGATGTAGAAACCCAGCCGAGGTGAGTGCGGCACGAGTTGTTGCCGTGACAGTCTGACGTTCTGCGTGGGTGAGATTGACAGCTTCGCCGTTGGAGCCTTGAGTGGCTAGGCCATTGACTCCGGCTTTCGCGAGACGAATTGCATGACTAGAGATAGTTTTCGTATCGAGTTCTTCCGTGGTCGGGTCGAAGAAGCAAACTGTGGGAACGTAAACGCCAGGAACTAGAGGACGAGCCATGTGATCGTCGGCTTCTGTTGAGTCACTACTGTAAGACGAACTGTATGAGGATTCGTTCACAGAATATATGCTGTTATCGTTGCTCGGGTCTAGCAAGACAGAATTTATTTGAGGGTGGAAAGACATGTTAAAATCTGTTGAGAACTCTCTCACGGGTGAAGGGGCATCGTTACTGTGTGGCGCCATGATGAATATAAGATATCCAATTATGTGTACCAAGATGTATGATGGAGAGAAATAACAAGCCTATGCTAGTTTGGAATGTGAGTCTTTAGCTGGATTCTATTTGAGAAGGTCAGTCTAAGACAACATTGACTTGAAGGAAGGCAAAGTTCTTGAAATGCTGTTGTCAAGGACCTTTGTGTGGGTAACAGTTAGACATTAAATACTTTCTCCTCGGTATGCTCCAGGTGGCGTATATGAGCTACTCCTCTCGACGCATAGTGTGGGGGGCCAATGTCTCTCTAGGAGTTGGACCTCGTGGCATGGCTTGTTTTCCCTGGTCATATTAGTAAACGGCGAAGAAAAGTAAGACCAGATATAAATGCAAGATGGGAGATTGTGAAGCATGGGCAGATACTAGCCTTGCATAATGGTAAAGAAAACATCATAAAATCCAAATGTTACTTTCCACATCGACGACAGCAGCAAGGAGTAGCAGGTGACGGCAACTAACGGCAACTAACCCCTCCATTTCCCGACCAATTACACATTCAGCTCAACAAATCTGGGATTCCTGATCTGGAAGTTAGTAATTGATTGACTGCGTCTCGATATTTGATATGCTGCACTCTCCGTTTTTGATCAATGATCATCAACGATGTTGTATTCTGAATTCAATAGAGACGGTAGAGAAGCCTATCCTGGTGCTTTCTGCTTGCCAAGAGATGAAATGTAAGGAAAAGGGAAAGTGCAATCTCTGAACCCCGTATTCCATTGTAGGTCGGGCGCCGTTTGCTCCTTCCTAGACAACTTGACCTCACCGCATACATGATACCTCAAGCAAAGTCGCATGTTTGTCCAATAATCTGTTGCCAATTTCAATTTCAATTGCTTATTTGCATCATGTCCTTAAGAAACTTCCATCTCTCCGAGTACGATAATGTAAGAGCTTTCTAACGGGGTTGGCTGGGGGGGCAATTCCTGGATCTTGATTGATGGTAAAAAACGAAAGTTGGGAGATGGAGGCTCAGACTCAGAGCAGTCTCACTCAGCACCAACCACACTATATTCTCCAGAGCTGAACTTTTGTATTTTGCCAAAAGCTCACTCATATTGGGCTGAAGAAACCATGCCTATCGACGAGTTTGTCTTTTCTTTCATGTGTATATGAACGTACGTAGTCTGGCCTTTCCATCGAATTGTACTTGTCGCTGCAGAGTAGAATGTCTGCTGATACGGTATAATGACCTCAATCCCTGAGAATCGCGGGGTTCATCGACCCTGGTCTTGTAAGATGATTCCCCAGATGGCTTAGCTGATACAAGAATCCAGGATCACGGTGTTGGTAACATGTTCGGACAGCCGTTTCTTGTCGGGATTCAGTGAAAGAGCGTGGGGGTGGAGAATGAAAAGGAATGAATCAAGCGCAGTTTGGCCAACGAGAATCTGGGGTTTTCTATGATATCTTGGCACACATGACATCGACTTCCAATTGCCGTATCGAACCACCAGAACCCCGAACCACCTTCTTCTAGGATCACGAGATATCAAAGTCGAAGAGATGTATCATATTCTTGAGAGGCGAAATTACATAATGAGTCTACGAGAACCGGCAACTAGGAACCCAGAGACGACATTCCCAACGTACAATCAGACCACGCTGTCGCCTCCAGGCTTCATTAGTGTCTGCGGTGATACATGATACATAATGCATTCATCATACCAATGATTGAATGGGACCACGATGCAAGATCTTACTTTCGCTTGATCATTCAGCGCGTTACGTTCTTACCAACATGTAAACCTCGGCATTGGAAATGGTCTCACCGACGAAGTTGAGTCGAATCAGACCATCGTTGTGAGAAATATGACGAGAGGTTTTGGAATAGGCAGCTCCCGTGGCATGTTTTTAATGCGTTTCCCTTGAATTACCTCTACCTGCCGAATGTGATTCGCCAAGCAACTGGTACGATAAAAAGCCTCTCATCACTGGCTTTTGATATTCGAAGCAGCGCGGATTCAGAACTTTCAGAGCCGGCAATGCAACTATGACAATCCTTGCAGGTTTTTCCTAATCTAGAAGCTCAAAATTGTCGTCTTCCATGATAATAATTGTACACCGGCATTATTCGTCTACCAGAATAGTACATGTCCAGCACCCCCTTGGCGCCCGTTTTCAGATGCGTCCGAACACAAAAGAGGTACCATGGCACGTGGACATTAACCTTCAAGTTAGCGCAGTGAACACAGCTTGTAATCAACAAGCTGCTCACACTACAAAGCGAGCAGACTATATGCGCCGTGTTTACAAGTGCATTCGAAAGTTGTCCTACTATCGCGTCTTCCCAATTACACCAGGAAGCGGGCCTAGCACTCTCAATATTCGGCCATGGCTTCGTCTCATAGAAGGTTTCTGAATTCATGATTTTCCATAAGCTTCAAAGCTTGAGCTTTTGGCAACTAAAGAACGTCATTTTAGGCTGGTACAATTATTGGGACATATTCATGTCGCAATAGGTACCGATACGGGCCTTGCCCAAAGCTTGTCAATAAGGTCCCGCCTTCTTGCGGATACGGGAAGGTCACCTAGTACCCTCTAGGTACCCACCTAGTTCGCATAGAATGAAGTGATGTATGCGCCTAGTCTCACCAAGCATCTAAAACTAGATTCGTGGATCATTACCGGCTCGGTTTATCCGGGGTGACACGCGTACTGGTCGTACCTCTCGGGCTAGATTAATCAGCCATCTGCAACTCATCCCGTTTGTACTGGCGTGGGGAATCACTTCACATACACTACATCGACTTTTGGTGCCCTTGCTTGTAGTGGGGGTCATACGGGGGTGGAAAAGATGGCTGTTTCTTCTGAGTGGCGAAAATAATTTCCTGTCAACTCGAATATCTGAACTCTTTTATCTTTTGCCTACCTTGATACACATGCTACCTTGCACCAATTTACTTCACAGTTGTGTTGAAATGAAATTTGTCTTACTGAGTAATCAGTCATCTTGATTATACAGTAGGTAGTTACTACTGCTTCATTGCATATTAGAAGTTCAATATCAGCTTTACCCTCGGCAGAGCGTTGAGCATTATCTCTTCTACACCTCATTTCACCAAGCTCCTAGCTACTCTACTATATAAGCCCTCTCAGAAACAATTTCTCCATCGAGAGCGCAAAGGCGGCAAACAGGCTTGTTTGTTCGGGTCAAATGCGCTCTTGTGGTGGAGTGGTAACACGCCTGGTTCGAATCGGAAAAAACCCCATCGGGGGTTTCTCCTCCCGCCCCTCTCGTGGGGCGGTAAGGTTTTGCCATTCTGGACTTCACTGTTCAATTTCTTCCTTTCGCTTTTGGAAGAGTAGAGTTGGTGGGTGAGATTGGTGTCGTCGGCGAAGCGAGGCAACGTCAACATATATTGTGGGGCAACAAAGTGGTGGAAAGAATAGGCGGTCTATTTGCCTACGCGGAGTTGGGATGGGAATACTGGAATAGCCGAGTGAAACAAACACATAATGAATATGATAGTGAATGTGGTGATAAAGACGAATGAAGTGCTGCACGTAATAATCAGGCACAGCTGATATATATACTCATCGGTAGTCCTACTTAAACACCAAAGCTGGAATGGTAACTTGGTCGACAGCATTAAATTAGAGACGGCGATAGCGGACTGCTTACTTACTTACTTTACATTTTCACTAAAATTCTCTCAGATCGTTGGTGCTCCCCCATTCCTTCAAACCTTCTGAGCCTACATATACTCTCCCAAAATCCGTCCACTTTACCCCTTTTTTTCGAGTCTGCTTTATCTTCCTCAGCATATCTTACAATACTACGATCGCAGACATCATGTTGGAGACGGGGAAATTGAAGGCCATCAATTTTCAGATATCAATCTGAATTTGAACACAGGAGGTCTTCCAGCACTACCATGTTCGTTCAAGTTTAAGTATTCACTGCTGCCATTTTCGCGTGGGATTTGGAGAGAAGGACTACAACGCATATGATAGTGGATAAATTTAAAAAAAAAGCGCTTTAGTCAAGGTGAGGAGTAGGTCCATGATATGAATAGGTGCTAAATGAAGATGATGAGTGAAAGAAGATGATTTGACGTCGGGAATCAAGTTATGTGTAGGAACGAGTGCAGGTATTCCATGAAATGTCATGTAGAGACTGTTGATATGTGAAGTATATCAGGATGGATTAGGTAGATGTGGTATTGTATAATCTTGCCAGGGAGAAATACGGACTGGAAAGGTTATCTCAATTTGATTTCAGGCGATGGAACGGGTTAGTCATATGGATGGACCTGATAATCAATAGATTCTATCATTAGAATTCTGAGTTCATCGTCTCATCATTATTTAAAAGTACCTAGTGTATACACTAATCGAATGACCACAATCCTCAGTGGCCACTCTCAAGCATCCCAAGCCTCCACTTCCTTTTCCCAGTCATCTACTGCAGAATCCTGTTCTTCTTTCTTCTTTTTCGCCGCCATTCTAGTTCCCAAAACGGTGAAGCTACTTTTTACACCTATCTCTGGCCTCACTGGAGCTTTGCTTCCGCTGGCTCCTTTGGCCACTTGACTCCACCCACCCCCTAAATGATCATCTTCTCTCCTGACGACATTCAAACTCGAATCCACACTACAGAGAACAACTGTCGACGCCAATTGAAGTGCTTTAACCTTTTGAACAAGGCTATGCTGCATAGCAGTCAGTGCGGAGTCAACTTTCGTGTACCAAGTCTCGGGAGCTTTTCCACGAAGGACAACTTCACCAGAAGGTAGGAAAGATACGTCGAAATCGAGGCCCGCATTTGCGAATTCAGACGAAAGATCGGTGTGTATCTCATCAATAGTTAATCCAAACCTAGGATTCGATAATAAGAATGCATTAAACGGTTCGGCTGTAGCAACTAATCTCTTTGAAGATGCAGCTTCGACGACTGTCACTGGCTTGACTTTGACACATTGCGCTAGAGTTTTCAATGGCGCAGATACAAAGCGTGGCGTCTTAAAAATCGAAACGTGGCGATGGGGCTCTGGATCTTGACTTTCACTATCAAGACCATAGTCTTCCGCCAATGAGTGCAGGAATGCTCTCTGATGAGATGGCATGGGCTTGAATCTTAATCTCTTCTCCGATGGATCCGCTGCGAAAACGCGAAATTCGCGCTCGTAGGTTTGACAAAATTTGAGCATGTCTTTGACCATATCCAATGTTTGTTGCGAATATGGAATATGATCATCTGTGTGAGTGCTTGGGTCAATATTCAAAGCTGCGGCAAGCTTTGCATTGCGTTGGAGCTTAAGACATTCGTCATTACAATCTAGTGTCTTTTTCGCATTGCCCTCGCTGGCTTTCGATGCGAGACATTTGACCGCTTGTTTCTGATGTTGACATTGGCAGGTGATGAAGGTTTTGCCTTGGCAAGGTAGTGTTTCCTTACAGGGGTAAGGAGCATGGCAAGCGTCGGTACAGGAGTGATCGCAAACGCTTTTCTGCCTTCCGCACGGTTGATGACATGGCGAAGTCGCGTCTTCGCATTGTCCGGGACGATGGCAGAGACTTTGACAAGAATGTATACCGCACTTTAACTTTTTCCCGCACGGCAAGCCACACCGGACTTCAGTGAACCAACACGGAATGTTTTTCAAAGTCCGTTTGCCACAAATACAAGGCTTCTCTACAAGGAAGGGACACTTTGGACAAGCTTCGCCATCGAGATGGCATTGATGCTTAGTTTGTGGATGACCACAAGTTCTTGCTCTTGTACAATCAAAACGGCACTCAGGTGGTTTCGTCCCGCAAGGCATTGGAGGCTGCAAAACGGTACGGCCACAAGCGCAGCTGATTTCTTCGAAGATAGCCTCACGGCATGATCTACAAGGGCCCTTGTGACAAAGTTCAGCGCAAGCATGTTCGCCACATTTGAGTGTGCGTCCACAGACTTTGAGACAGATGTGCTCGGCCTCAATGTTCTCTTCTGTCGGCGGAGCATTCAAACCACGATGCTTTCGTTTTGCGGCTTGTCGCTCACTTGCTTTCTTTTCGCCAGAACAACATCGCTCGCCACACTCGTGTCTCCCACAGTTGAGTGTCGCTCGGCATACTCGAGGGCACTGTGGCTTCTCATCCACTCCTTGATGACACATAGTGTTTGATATTGTCCTACCGCAGCGACATGCAATTAACACCGACTGAAAGCAAGGTCGGCACTCGCCTTCATGACAAATACCTTGGCAGGTATGCCCGCACTTCAACGGCAATTCACACTTCTCTTGACAGTGAGGAATATGCTGGGTGCAATCGGTTCGTGGGGTTTCGAGGAGTGTAGAAATTGGCGTTTTCCCGCAGGGACAAGTTGTGACAACGTCGGGCGACAATGGACAGTGTGCAGGTAATAGGTCTTGAGGGTGGCATTTAGTCTCACAGTAATGATCTGGTTTACCGCAATCAAAGGGTCTACGGCATTCAGAGCCACAGTCAAAAGATCCAATCCATGTCCTCATGGGTAAACTTTCACCATCGAGCGTACTGGCTGGTGCTTGACTTTCACGCTCTTCATCGCGTTCCGAGCAAGGTAAAGTTTTTTCGACTTTGCCACAATAGCATGTTGATTCAATAAGAACCTCACAACTGCCACAAAGGCCCTCATGACAACTCCGTTCACAATTGTGTTCTCCGCAGGGAAGTACATCATCGCAGATTTGCCCACAAGCCCATCCGCTTTCGTACTTCGTATCTAAACATCTTCTTGAAACTGTCTCTTTGCCACAAAAGCAAGGAAGTGAAGGCCCCATATGAGTGCAAAGTGGACACGGTCCAGCATGGCACATAAGATCACATGGATGAGGACAGTGTCCGATCCGCTTTTTTGAACAACTCTGCCCACAAGAATGTGGTGGTAGCCCAGCTACTGATCGTGGTTCAATTTCCTTCTCACACCAACAAGTATACGATATTGGCAAGTCTTCTTTGGGCAAATTACAACCGGGACATCTCCATTGTCTCGGTGGTGGCAATTCTCCATTTTCAACTGCTCGTTGTTGATGTGTGGACACTTCGTTCTTCGACCATTTTTTGACACATGATAAATGGAGAACCGACCAACAACTTTTACAGTTCCATATCTTAGAATTTGGTAAAACTTCGTTGGTACAAATTGCGCATTCGTATTGTCCATTTGTGATATCTTCGTGTGTTCGAGTGGCAAGATCTGCAGCTTGCGATTTCGACATTCGACGTGCGCGCGGAGCTCGAGAGGGTCCAGGTCGGGTGGCAATAGGATGACCAGGTGTAAATGCTGGAGCATCTCCAGCAAGAGAACCAGCGTCAGATGTAGGACTAGTATGCGAGTTTGAGGTAAGCTGCCCTCCAAACACTCTTCCATTGGCCATGGGCTGTCCGCGACCACCCCCTCTTCGACCCCCTCGTCCAAATCCACCTCTTCTACCATTGCCGCCTCCTCGATTGTTTGCGTTCGAATTTCGCGGGTTCGACGGGGCTGGAGAATTCGAGTCTGGCAGTGGTGCCACAGAGGCCGGTCTGAGAGCTAAAGGACCATTTGGTACTTGTGCCGTTGAATTTGGAGTAGCATTTGTGCTTGCATCTGCTGGTGCAGGTCCATTGTTCCGATGGCCACCCCGTCTTGGGCGACGAGTTCGTGTTCGAGGAGGACGATTGGAGCCAGGAGCTGGAGACGGTTCTGTAGTGGCCATGATACGTGAATATAACGAGCCTGTGATATAATTCGAAATTCTCGATAGTTTGTGTGTTTCAATCGATTATTGATCAGTGGCGGGGTCGTTATTTTTTTGTTTACTGCGATGCAATGCAGAAAAATTTAAGAGAGCTTGCAAAATACGAAACTTTCGTAAATCAACGAGTAATTGCGCCTCAAAATATACGGCGACTTCAGACAAGAAAAGGAATGAAAAGATTAAATGGTAGAAAGTGAATGAAAATACTTTTTGTTTGCAAGATACGAAAGTAGCACTCTGGTACGAGTATATAGAGGGGAATAAGGCTGATTTTATTGTGGCAATCCATGAGCTCTTTATCGACGCTAAACTTATCAACTAGCGCTCTTCTGGACTCTTCGGATAAATTTGTCAACTCCAAGACTCATACATGAGAGTTGACTCATACTCGCTCATTATCTGGAACATTGTAACATTTGCATTGCATCATTGTATGAGATGACTCTGAAGAATCAAATGTGGAAATGAATTGACTTATGAGCCGAGGAAGGGTATCGCATACTTCCAAGGTTATTATTGTCGCAATCTCTGATACGAGTGAAGTTATATCAAATCTTGGAATCCAACAGCCTCGTGCTAAGGTTACAAGGCTGGTCGAAGTCTCTGTTCTTAACCTGAGGTACCCAGGTATATGCCGACCACACTTTATTGTTGCATTTGTCGGTCATAAAAACATGTACTGTTGCTTCATAGGTTTCCTTGAGCTATATGGCTGAGTAACCTTTAGTCTCTCCACCGACAAACATCTCAGTGAGGACCTAGGAATTTATTCCTTCTCCAGTATTCGAAGGAGGAAGTTATCCACCATGGCGGTGCATAGATAAATACAACATAGACGCCCGAAGAGAAAAATCTCGATATAGCCTCAGTTGTGCAAAGGAATCGCACTCAGCGGTTACCCAACATGAACATATAAGTATGAAACCTACCTAGGCAGTTTCTTCTGTTGGTTTTCATTTCTTACCATCTTTTCCCTTCGTAATTCGACACTATGACATATAATCAATAAGCTCAGTTGATTCTACCTTCAACATCTCACCCCTTTCGTTCTCGGCTGAGCTTTTTCTCGCCACTTCCTTATCAATCACCAATATCCAAACGCAACTCCCCACTCACATTTAAGATTCCAACATTGAGTTGAAATCTTTCAACATGCCTCACTTTACAACTGACACAGATTACAACCTATCTAATCCTAAATCCTCCTCTTCTCTATCGTCATCTCAACCCCTTACAACCTTCTCACTCTTTCCTTTCCTCCCCCCAGAACTTCGTTTCCAAATATACACCCATTGTCTCCCCTCCCCTCGCATTCTCGAATTGGAATTTTCTCCCCCCTCTCAAACGTTCATTCCTATCTACTTTTCTTATTCTAGCATTCCCGTTCTTCTCCATCTCATCTCCGAATCACGTTCTTTCGCTCTCCACTACTACCAATACATCCACTCTTTGAATCTCTGGTTTAGTCCCTTTAGGGATAGTTTATATTTTCGGATAGATGCTAGCCAAATTTACAGTCCCTACTATTCGGCCTGGGTTGAGAAACTAGGGAATTTGTTAAGGCTGGGGGAGGATTATGATGAATGTGGATACGGGCTGCAGCGATTAAGATATATAATCATTGGAGACGAAGCTTATTCTCACCTGACCATCTCATCCACTGTTCTCGCTTCGCTTCGTGATTTGAAGGAGATAGGGGTAGTTACGAAAGAAGAAAGACTACCTCTCTGGCCGGAAAATGAAGCCATTTTATTTTCAGATAGGAAGACGAGACCGAAGAGGGGAAGATACGATAAAATTGAGGGCCCATCCATCAATTATTCTCAAGTCCGTCGGCGCTTCAAAGGTGTGCTATTGGGTAATTCAGACGGATCGTTTGTAAGGGAGGAGAAAAGGGACCCTTTTGCGGTTGGCTGGTGAAAGATTTGATCTTGATGTGCAAACCCTTCGTCGGGGATTGGTTATATTTGTTTTATCTAGTCATCTAAATTCTTTTAAAGTTTCACACGATATGCATTATCCGCTGCGAATTTTGATTTAAGATTGTACTAGATTTCCAAGCTACAACTCCAGGCTCGATTCGATCCAAATGGGTATTTTCTCGTCCTCCAATCTCCCACCAATATCCGAAATCTCAATCTGTTATCATGATACATTCCTTTTTTCATCTCTCGTTAATTTTCATCCGGCTCTCGTGTTTGCAATATCAAGAATCAAGATATCTGTTGCTCCAACGGCCGTCAAATCATCCATGACCACAGCGATCTTCTTCTTTTCGACCATTGAACTAACAGCTACCCAGCCTTCCTCCTCCAAGGCGTTGATCGTGGGTGCTCGCTTTCCAGGGGTAATTTTGACTGCATCTGGGAGGGCGGTTCGTTGAACGTTGTACTGGCACAAGACGTATTTTTGCGCAGTGATGACACCTCGAATACGGGAAGCAATAAGATCTACCAATGCTGGATTCGAGGGTCTTTTGGATTTCACGAGAATTGCTGTACTCGAGACGACGGTATCAATAGCCTTCAATCCTGCTGCCTTCATGGTTTCACCAGATTCTAATAACATATTAATACGTAACTTCTTGAGGTTGATATGTCGTTCTTTAACTTACCAACAAGATCCACAATTCCATCAGCGACACCAAGAGCGCATGCAGCCTCAACACTGCCGCTGAGCTCGATGATCTTGGTCTTCAACTTGCGCCCGGACACGGCACCACCGTCTGCCTCAGCTTCCAACGCTCGGAAGAATTCCTCAGATAGACTGACGAAACTGGTACCAATGTTCTTTCCAATAAGATCTGATGGCTTCGCATACGGTCCCTTCTCTGGCACTTGTACTTGCAACTTACAAGCACCAAATCCCAAATCCATTATCTCTACACATCCTTCTTCCTTGCCCGCTTCGACAGGGGTAGATGTTCCCGATTCTGACTTAACTCTCCTCTCGGTTTCGACTCCTGTGGCATGTTCTGCAACTGTGTCCCGTCCAGTAATACCAATATCTACTCGACCTTCACCAACGAACGTAGGAATGTCGGCAGCGGGAAGGAAAACGAGCGCAATTGGTAAGTTTTTGACCAATGCGATGTCAAGTCTTGATTCTCTTCGAAACTGAATATCGGCGCCTTCGAGCAAATTGAGTGCTGCTTGTAATAGTCTTCCCTCTAACAATTCAATCAGCCATCAATCTCGAAAACAGGATTCGGCTTCAGTGGTGTCATGACTCACTTTTTGGTACTGCGAATAGCAATCTACCTTCTAAGCTTTTGTGATCGTTAGTGAAAGACTCATACTCTTCAGAATCCTCGTCTGCAATGTATAACATCTTGAGAACTTTCATTGTAGCTTCTTTGAACGGTAGGAGTTGCCAGGTTCTGTGTGCCCAAAAATGCGAATCCAACAGCTCCAAACCGTTTAAATAGGCTTCAATGGCAAGCCCAAGAGCCAACAAGGTAAAAGAGGAAAATTCTTACTGATTCACTAAATCCATTTTGTTGAGGGTGACGAGAGCAAGTTGTTTGTTTCTGTACAATGTGAAGATATAATGACTCCGATTGCGGGGTATTCACTTGAATCACAAGCAGAAGCAGAGAATGTTGTGTTCGTAAATGATAAGAAATGTATGGCTTGGGTAATTTGAAATATATTTGAAGCAAAGAGAATCACGACTATTGGATAATATGGGAAAGGGACAAGACTTCACTTTTAATTTGACTCGGAGATGTTTGGCGCAAACTCCATTATAAAAAAAAAGTCACCTACGGAGTACTCTAGTACTCAACTTCATCATTCTGCCCCACGTGTAACACACACCTGGTACTTTCGGTGGTCGGCGTCTTCTCAAAAGCCACTAGTCCCAATTCATGTTAGTGCAAAAATGCTTCCATTTCGACGCTAAGAATATTAACGAGAATCTCTTGCCCTAAGATTCTGCGAACAGGCAAAAAATTATCACCAAATTCACGTCGACCAGTAAGCCCCGAGTCAATTTATCAACCACATCCCAAAATCCAAGCGCATTAATCCTGTGAGTGACTCAGGAGCTCATCTACGGTTCCAAGATTCTAACAAAACTCAGATCGCAAAAATGGATGCATCAAAGGTCCCCGTCAAGCTCGTTAAGGTCACCCGTGTTTTGGGCAGAACCGGTATGTCGAAATCTGGAGAATCTATATCTGCGGATTTGAAAGGAGGTAATTCTGACAAAAATAAGGTTCCCGTGGAGGTGTTACTCAAGTCAGAGTCGAGTTCATGGACGATACCACCCGTTCCATCATCCGTAACGTCAAGGGCCCAGGTACGATTTCACGATTATTTTTATTCCCCCCCAGAATTACATTTCGGCAGCAGATTTTCGAGAAGGAAATGTTGGGAAGCTAGGGAAGGTGTAGGCTAACACATAGAAACAGTCCGTGAAGACGACATCCTCTGCTTACTCGAATCTGAGCGTGAGGCTAGAAGATTGAGATAAATTGTTGGTCATAGTTATCGAATGATGGGAGCATTGGGAATTTCTTCATGCATTCAGGTGCAGGCTTTTGCTACGGCTATGGGCTGGATGTACGTTTGATGAATATGGATGGATCAGTTCAAGGAAATACTTTCACCACAAAATAACACGATCGATGAATTCCCGGTACCTTATTTCTACGACAATGTGCAAATCTTGAGACGTGAGAGAATTATTCTTGTGGCCTCGAGGTGATTTGGAGGGTTTGGATCACGGATTGCCGCAATTTCACACTGTTTTTCGAGGGACCGGAATACAATCATGAACGTGGAGAGTCTAGATTCATGGGGAAGATGCAAGTGCGAGTTTTTGCATTGCTATTCACTTCTTGTTCAGCGTGCACCCCGCATTGAAGTACGGAATCCGAATACTATGATTCCAAATTTAGGTCTGGGGAATTTAAGCAAGTCCCCTCCAATCCACTCATCTTCCATATTTACCCATTCACTTCACCCAGTGCACCTTGAAGTCTTTCTTTGACCCGATTCAATATTCCAAAAAGCGGTAACAGCTTTTTTTTTCATACAAGAATACATATTATTTCCCCTGCCATTGCCAAATCCCATATCAAAATTCAATTTACCTATGAGCAGTTCCACCTGAAAGTTCATGGCTATTTGCGTATTCTGATTTCCGCGATCAAACTATCCGTGCGACCTTTTGTTTGAGGTGATTCTGATGTTTGAATCCATTTAATTGATTCAACCACTAGGACAATTCACTATTGATCAATCAACGAGGCCAAAGTCACAATATTCTACTTGACTCATAACACAACAACTTTCCATTCGTAGGTGTCCACATATTCCTCAATTCAGTCACCGTGGTTCCCTCTTCAAAGGATATACAAACCAAGCAACAACCTCAACTCAACCTCATATCTAGATTCAAACGGAGACGAATTGCAACAAATCCACCACAATGTCTTCCCACCCTTTCCCTCACGCTATTACACTTTTCCAATCGTCTTCTCAAGAATTTGATGGATCTCAACAATCTCGACCAGACTCTCCACCTCTAACCCTACCATCTCCAAACTCAAACCACGCAATGGAAAACCCAATACAACATTACTATTCCTCTCTTCTATATTCTCCTCAACTGGGTTCTTCGCCTCAATCAGTTGTGTACGCCCCGCTCCCATCACAACTACAAGTGCAATCACAGGAGACGCAGACACAAGCACAACAATATCTCGCTCCACCCACAACATCTTCCTACTCACGCCAAAATCAACAAGCACAACGAAATACCACTTCACACACTCAACCGCACTCTCAACCAGAATCCCATCATCACCTTCGGTCACAATCCATCCCGTCCACTCTGCAAACCGAACATCAACAGATATTGAATGCACCACATGCTCCAGAATTGAATTACAATACCATTGCATCCTCCAATCAATATTCGGTTTCGAAACCATTTCCTGATTCCGCAACTCGTCCCTTTCCTTTTCTCTTCCCGGGATTACCCACACTCCACTCTTCCTCGCCATATACATCTACATCCACATCCGCTTCTTTTTCCACGCCCCCCTCCTCCTGTTCCGGCTCGCATTCCGATTCCGATTCCGATCTAGAAACCGGCATCGAAGACAATATGATAAACGGATTACCCAGGAACCACGCCCAAGAACTCGCAGTGCAGAGGGCGCATCACATGTGCGCTTGGTTTACGGGGGTTATGCTTGGGATCTTGGGGGTCGTGGGGGTCGTACGGTGGGTGGTTTATGGTTGAGAGGGGGGTGTAAGGGGGAGGGGAGGGGAGGGGAGAGGGGGAAAAGTATATAGTATATGGTATATGGTATATGGTATACAATGAGAGAAGGGAAAAGATAGCAGAGTAGAGTAGAGAAGAGCCTCTCTTTCTCTCTATTATAATATATCAGGGAAGGGATGATACGACCAAGGAGCGGAAAACACAAAAATGGAAAACACAAACATGGAGAACTCCATGCAAATACAATCAATCACAGTCTAGAAATAGACGACGACGCATTGATTGGGAGGAAATATATTTTGTGTGTATGTACAAAGAGGAAAGAGGAAAGAGGAAAGAGGAAAGAGGAAAGAGGAAAGAGGAAAGAGGAAAGAGCAAAGAGCAAAGAAAGAAATCAAAATGTCTTTCTTGCTCTCACTCTCCCTCTCCCTCTCCCTCTCCCTCTCCCTCTCCCTCTCCCTCTCCCTCTCCCTCTCCCTCTCCCTCTCCCTCTCCCTCTCCCTCTCCCTCTCCCTCTCCCTCTCCCTCTCCCTCTCCCTCTCCCTCTCCCTCTCCCTCTCCCTCTCCCTCTCCCTCTCCCTCTCCCTCTCCCTCTCCCTCTCATTCTCATAGACAATATCAAGATGTAGATGGATAGATACATGAATACCTACAAACAGGAAAGGGAATCGAATCGGGTTCTGAGATATTACAAAAAAGGAAAGGAATGTCTATCATCGTGAATGGTGAATGCAATGCGAGAGAGCAAGTCAAAATTCAAGTTTTCTGAAAAATAAGATTTCACTTGTTTATTTATGTTGATCTTGATATACCGTACATATATACAAACAAGAAAACCATTTGCATGTGATGTCCGTTGTATTGAGTAATTAATTTCACCACACATTTTCACAAGCGAGATATAGAATGCCCATTTCGAAACCATTTTCACAGAGAAGGAAAAGGTGTATTGTTTACGTTTGATTGATTGATTGATTAATTGCTTGGTTGATTGAACCCACTAATATCCCCTCACATTACTACATCCGCCTTCCTACTCATCGCACATCAAGCCCGCATACCACAGCCATTAACGCGATATTTTGGATCCAACCAGCCAGGAATATGTACCTGGAAGCACATGCAAACAAACATCAATTCAATCCCATGCAGTCAGTCCTGTTTAGCCCAGTCCTTTCAAACCCATCCCATCCCATCCCACAAATCTCGTACACTTATTTATGCCCATGCATCCATTCCTATTCCGATCCAACCTAGAAGTCAAACCCGCACGCAATGCCCTCATATACATGATTAACAGCATAAGCATAAGCATAAATCCAGCAGCAGAAAACGTAAACACGACAGATGTATGAACAAGAAGAACAAGAACAAAGACAAGAGCGAGAAGAAGAATGAGAAACGCATGAGAAAAGTACAAGTGCAAGCACAGAACAAACAAGCAACAACAAAATCTGCAATCCCAAACATACATCTCAGAAGAAAGAAGAAAATATGGTATCACTATGCTCCTCTCCTCTCTGCTCGATCTCCGTCGCGCATCCCGCCCCGTCTGTTGGCGCCCCATTTTTGTGTGATACATGTTCACATAAACAAGACGATCTCTCCTCTATCATTCTTCTTCATTCTCAAACTCCTCCAGAGCTCCTTCTCCTCATCTCCCTTTCCCAGCGCTAATCCCGCTGCCGTTCTCTCGCGATGATATCTCTTCAATGCTTTATTCATTGAAACACCCTTTTCGCTATTGGGACCCTTGTTCACCATGCTCATGAGAAGTTCTGCGCGGGGTTTATAGACGACCATTTGGTTTTCGCCAGGGGAAGAATCACCAGCGCCGTTCATTGGTTTGTATTCGAGCATCTTAGGTCTTTCAGAGGACTTAGTACGATGCTTGTGCTTACGTTTCTTGGGTCGATCTTCCGAGTGCTCGCGGGAAGGTTGGCGAGTGGTGATCAATGACATCAAATTGCTACCGAATGTGTCATTGCGAGTGCGAGCACGGCTGGCGCGTTTGGATTCCTTGGTCTTCTTGGGTCTTGCGCTAGGCGATTCCTTCTCAGCATCGGCACCAGAATAATCTGGCGATGGGGGGAAGACTGAAGGGCGAGTTTGAAGCTTGCCAATTTCCGCGGTCAATCCTGAGTGTAGAACTGGTGGCGCATCATTCATTTGGACATCGCCTTCGCGGGACGACGTATCAACATGTAAACGTTTGCGCTTCTTATCTTTCTTCTTCTCGTCTTTCTTATCCTTTTTCGATTTCCCCTCATGTTCCTTGGTTGGTTTCCACTCAATTGCTTTTGGTGCTGGTGTTTCGAAAGGTCCGTTGGTTGGTACTGGTCCAGATCCCCATTCGACGAGATTGGCAAGACTTGGATTGTCTGCTGCGTTTACTCGTACGAGATCCGTGGAAGGTTTCTCCTCTACTTCGGAACTATCTGCATTATCGCTCATGGACTCGTCGCGAACTTGTTGCTCAGGCTCAGAATCGTTCATGACCTCATCAGCTGCGGGGAGATCTAATCGCGACGCATTGGGTGTTGGATCCACGAGGAAATCAAATACATTGACGGGTGCTGGCGTTGAAGGGGCAGCTTCTGGTACCGGGGCTGTAGCTTGTTGCGAATTGTCGTACTCATCTTGCGCATCTTCGACGTATGCGTTGTGGGCGGGTGCGGATTGAGAATTGTTATGCGAATTATTCTTTTGATTGTTTTGTTGCTTTCCTTTCTTCCCTTTACCCTCTCCTCTGTATAGCGCACCTTGGTATTTTTGCGCCTCGCTCATACAGCTCTGAATTGATGTCAGCAAAGGATGCCCCGCGTCTGAATCATGTTTGTTTACATACCGTATGCGAGCGATATTCTAGGCCCTGGAAATGTACCATGCAATCCAGGCAAGTATATGATGCCCCGCGACATTGATTTCGATGAGGGTCAAGTTTCTTCTTCGTAAGGACGTCTCCGCAATTCTATAGATTGTTTTCTTGTCAGACAAAAGCTTGTTTGAGTTGCCAAAGTAGAAGTAGGTAGAAGTGTAGGTGCAGGTGTCGGTGTTTCAACAGGACATTGAAGTCGTAGGGATAATAAACATACCTCACAGCTGAATGATACCATGATGATATATGTAAGTTTCCTTTTCTTTCCCTGCAGGAGTCTCTTGGATTGTTTGAGATTTGTAGTATTTTTAGAAGAAATTTATGAGGGAGAAGATTGATAAGAGATTTTCTTTTTTTTTTTTTCTTCTTCCTTTTTTTTTCCCTTTTGGCGAAGAATAGATAAGTTTGCGAGTTTGTTCTAGTATCGCGGGGGTGGGAAGAAAGTAGCTAGCTTTTGGAGAAATTGAGAAAAGGAACTTGAGATTGAGATGGTGGTGTACTAGGTAGGTATAGTCCGTAGATAGGTATGTACCTATGTCAAGTGTTTGATATGAAACTCGGGGGAGGGATGAAGAGTGTTTCTAAATCGAAGTATTTCCTCTTTGGTTCCAAATCCAAGCCTCTTTTGTGCTGTTGCTTGGATATTTGACTGGGGGGAGGGAAGGGTGGAGGGGTATTTTGGGATGGGATGGGATGGGATGGAATGGTTGGTATGTAGGCAGGTAAGGTAGGAGGTAGGAGGAGGGTAGCTATCAGGTACAATATAAGTCGTTTTGGAATAAATCAACCAAAAATAAAAAACAAAAAACTTATAAATAAATAAATAAATAAATTCAAACCCTTAAAATACTTTTCAGACCTTTTTCACACTTTTTCGACCTTGGATCTTGGACCTTGGACCTTGGGATATTTTTGTGGGATTCAAGGCTATGCAGGTGTACAGCTCTCGCGCGTTAGTATTTTTTGGGGTTGCATGAAAAAAAGGCGATGGATGTGTGAATGGAGTGAATGGAGTGAATTGAGGGACAAAACATGAAAAATGTTTGGTTGGAATTTGTTTACACTTTTTCTTCCTGCTTCCTTGACTGGTGGAGATGCCGCCCTTCCTATGCTTCCCCTTCCCCCCTTCCCCCTTCCCTTCCCCTTGAGAGAAAGAGAAAGAGAGAGAGAGAGAGAGAGAGAGAGAGAGAGAGAGAGAGAGAGACTAGAATACGCCCGGAAGCATGTTCAGAATTACATTCGTCCTACTTGTGTGTGTACATGTATGTATGTATGTATGTATGTACCTTTTGCTTGCAACGCTTGCGACACTTGCGACACAGTGACACCAAAGTACAGACAGAGTACAACAAAAAGGTCCACGATGTCTACGCTTTGTATCATGCATTGAACAATGTTCATTTGGTATTCATTCCCGCCCCCAATGGCTTACCTATATGATATTGGCTTGCAATGGTAAACAACAAGTGAAATCAACAAAGAGGAATGTGCATTCATTCACAATTTCACATTCATCACACCCAGGGGACGGATGGATGTGCGATATGCAACATTGAAAATTCTCTAGCTTTGGGCGTCAATCTCAAGGGACGATACCATCCATACTTAAGCCCTCATTCTTGCCTTACTACCTAGGTAGGGGGGTAGGGTAGGTACCTTCATACGAGCAAGTACTGTCATTGGGTCGCCTTATATATCGTTATGTGATATCCTCAATTCTTTGCGTTGAATTCATGATCATTGGGCATTGTCTCCAAATCCAAATCGACCTTACCTTACCGTGGACACATGGGAAGATATTCTTCATTGGATCATTGGATGGTCCCCTTATTCCCACATATTGGGATCCCAATAGCTGAGATCTTGCTAGGGAGGAAACGTGAGATCGGGTATTCTAGGCCATTAGTTCGATTCGATTTTTCTACTTCCATATGTGTGAGTGCCTGTTGGCGAGGAAATGAAGGAGACCGAGTACGCTGCCTCGCTGTACAATCGCCAGAGGAAAAGGAGAAAGAAGACGCAAGAATGGAGATATATCTTCAATGGAGGGAGTTCTCATGAGAGGAAGGAGTTTGGCTTGAAATTCAACCCACGAATCAAACTCTACTTGCTATCTCAAGACGTGTGTATCATCTTGGAT